TGACACACACACACACACACACCACAGAGGTACACAAAGAAAAGACACCACCCTCTAATTTCCCTGTGGCAAATGAGATAAAGACGTGGCCATAGAACCTGTCAATTCTAAACCCTCCCCGCTCCCCGCCCCCATAATGCTATCTCACAACCTAGTAACTGATTTTTTAATTTCAAGATAAATAAATCCATTGCGACTTTAAAATTGTTCACCTATGGAACTAACTCTTGTTATGTACATCTGCACACCTCTGAGCTAGATGACACATTCACAGAATTTCAAAATACAAAAGCCTAGCTTAGTTTTCCAACCACTGGTTGCAACCACAGAACGTTCTCACAAAATCAAAATTTCAAATACAAAAGGGCCAGATTCTTCTTCCAACCTTGAGCCAAAACCTACTTTATGAATACAGTGTATCTGACAGTGTGAACCATTTCAAATGGGCGATTCTGAACCCGAAAACAATGCCTCAATACAACGCGTTCAAAAATAAGTATTCCGTAGGTAAGCAAAATCGATGCCAGAACCGAGCACATAAATGGTGGTTGGAAGCCAGCACATTACCAACACAGCGGCATACCTCTCCTGCACTGGGTTATAGTTAATTCTCCAGCAACAACTACAACTATTTTTAACACGAAGCTGGACACCGAAGTTGAAGGCAACGTGAGGGGAGACCCGATGAAACTGCTGATAGGATCCATTGTTTCTCACGGTCAAAATTAAGTAGCAACTGACTCGATCTCTGCCGTTGATAGTCACTGGTGGAGCACTAATTAAAAGACGATTTAAAAAAAAAAAAAAAGCACACACACACACACCCTTATTTTGGAGAATGCCACACTAAATGGCATGTTAGAATCCGCCTTGCAGGTCTCAAACCTTTGCATAAATTGTTACTTGTGGTATCTGCGGCTTCATCGCCACCCCACCGGCGCTGTCATCCCGTGTTATGGCCACAAAACCATGACTTTCTCACTTCCACAACAACAGCGCGGCCAGCCTTATCAGTCAGCAGCCTCCCTCCACACCGGGGAAAGGCATGGAGGCTTCCAGATCCCCATCGGGCCTGGGGGGTGGGTGGCCGCCGAGGGGCTCGGGGCGGGGGGAAGGCTCCCCCGGCTCCCCCGGGGCGCGCACGGCGGCTGCAGCCCGCCCGCCCGCCGCCCGCCCGGGCACCTACCTGAAGAGCAGGAGATGAGAAAGACGGCGAACGCCAACTTTGCAGCAGCTCCCATGTTCCCGAGGCGCCGGGGAAGCCGGAGCAAGTTCTCGCTAGATATCCAGTTCCCTGGGTCTTCCTCGGAGACAAACCTCCTGGTGTGAAATCAACCGTCATAAAACATATTCGGAAGCCCCGATCAAAAAACGTTCACGGGTTTGTTTTTTAAAAAAAAAAAGAGAGAGAGAGAGGAAAAAAAAGAGGGGGGAAAAAAAGGAGCACAACAATGAAAAAAAAAAAAATGCACCACGGGGGAAAACCGCCACACACC